TTTGCTAAGGGTCCTTACAGACCTCTATCGACGTCACGGCTGCATCTGTTGATGAGCAACGAAGTGTTTTGTCCAATGAGAGTCGCTTATTTGATCTGTTAGAGGTCTGTAGGGGCCTCTAAGTAGCACGGTAGTTAAAGGGTTAAGTTCACACGTCAGTAACCAGCAACGCGTAAAAGGCGAACACTTGAAAAAATCGCCACAAAGCCAACACATTAACCTATGTGATCACTCTCTTACTACAAAACTACGATTTGAGCGAGTACGATACTCAAACTGCCAACACTGGTACAAGAAATATGGCTCATGAAATACGTACGGGAGTTGTGAATACACCTAAATCTGCGATTATGTCGGCATGGCTTGGGATTAGTTATAAATTAAGTATTCGAATGAAATGAGTATTATTATCCCTTCAGTGACGTGATTAGCTCCCTTTTTATATGCATCCGCGAGGCGCAGTCGCGAAGTGCACGCTGCGCTATCGTAAAACTACGTAGCCTTGACGACATCTTTAATAGCATCCTATGTCTAGAAGCTTGTCAGCTTGTACAAGCAGAACGTACACAACAAACTCCCCTCGTCTATCAACTCAGGTAGATTAATACTAATTCGCCAAGCACGGCGGAGGGCGGAGCGATTACCAAAGAGCTTCCTTACCGACGTTAAGTAGAAGACGACACTTGTTCTCCACTCAGCAAGTTTGGGATTGAGGTAGGGAAAACCTCAGTCGGTGACAAACCCCCCTCTGGTTAAGCTGTCCTATACTAACTGCAGTATTGCCCGTGCTGCACTCGTCCCAGTGAGACTCTGCAACTTCAACAGACCGTTACCTTCACTAAACTCCTGCTGCAGCTAACTGTTGTGTGGCGGAGCACGATATTATCTCCAGACTCGAACACTAATACCTGACAGACCGTGTGTATTTTACAGCACTTACAGCTTTTACAGAGCCAATGATAGCTTTTCGTCGTTCGGCTTGTCACTCCAGTCCTGTTGATTCTTCACATGCCCCACATTTGAACCGATTGCAGTCCCGATAGCACATAAATCTAGGCAATCTGTTGCAATGCTGCCATCAACAATACACCGTCAACTCTCTGGAACGTTAATTAAGAAGTGCTAGGTACCATGCACGTCGAGACTACATTATATACTCACTCAAAAAGTGTCAATTTCTCTGCACGTGGTGAGAATTTATACTATTCCAGTGGACGCCTGCCTTATATATACATTAAGGCATCGCTTTATCTGCAGCAAGTATGCCGGGCTTAAAAAAGATGTAAGTCGGCATATTCCTAAAAACATCCACCGCAAATGACATACAACTACCACCGTGTGTACAACTAAAAGAGTCCCGTTGGAGGGATTGGTGTGTTTACCTAATACTTTAAAATGCACCCGTCACTTTGTCCCGGACACGAAAGCACTTCGTTTCTTCTAGATTTTGGCATTCTCGAATTTGTGCTCGTCGAGTATGACCGGCGAAGATTCAGACGTGCTGCTAGTGCTTGCGGATGCCTTCAGAAGGCAAAGCGACGGGCTGCGACGGGAGGTGTTTCGACTCTTAGTAGAGGAAGCTAGGAGGGTGG